TGAGTGCTGTGCCTGCCTGTGATGAGGAGATTGTGAATAAAGAATGAATATTAGTCGAATTTAAAATAAACATTTGCATTTGAATGTTAGGAGTGCATCAGGGAGCGTCATCAGTGGCGCACGAGATGCTGTAAGTGACGTTGTTTAATGTTTTGTTAGTCTATCCCACAAGATGCGCCGCTGCTGTGTTATGCATTCAAAATATTAGAGAAATATAGAAGCTCAATGCGGAGAAGATCTTGAAACGAACAAATACGACTGCTGCACTCGCGTCACACACAAGAGATGTATAGCCATGCAAAGCCATGCAAAGTTAAACCAGTTTAAACTTAAAGAAAACACGTCACGAATTTGTGGAGGTTTATTCCCTTTCACTGCGTCTCATACGTTTTTAAATGCAATCTGTGTGAATGGCGCTTCGGCTCTTTGTATTAAGCAATGCATTAATACATGATGCTGTTTTGTTCATAATTGTTTATGCAATTTACGAAATTATATTTTATTTATATGAGTTAATTTAGACGTAATGCAGGTTTTTTTATAGACATTTATTTCCCTGCGTTGACATTATGTGCGGCATTATTTTGCTCATTGAGCCCTCCTGTGGCCTCGGGAGACAAGACATAAGTTGCATGTGGCCAAATATTAAAATTAAATGGATTTAAACGTCGTTAAATCACATGAAACATCACCAGAAACATAGTTGGCGCCCTCTGAAGGTATTTGTTATAATATAGGCATATTACATTATGTATTTAACAGTGTTGTTCAATAAAACCATGTACTTGGTTTTGATACTTTATTTGAGGCCAATTATATCAAAATATCAGATTACTCACTTGTCAAAATAATCAGTAGATTACTTGATTAGCATAATAATTATTAGTTAAGCCCTAGATTAGTTAAAACATTTCAAAATACAACTGCATTGTTTTACTTTTTGTGATTAAAAGACAAATATTTAGTCGTTTGAAAATTTCTTAAAGTATTTAAACATTGTCTCGTTCTAGTGAATCAAGTTTCTGCACCTTGTGAGCTAAGTGTATTGTCACACCCCCCTAGTGTCTATGAGTGTGATAAAGCTCATAATTTTCCAATGGACATAGCTTTTCATTCTTCAGGTCAATCATATATTCATGAAAAAGAATGAACAGAAAAGTGACATTTGTGTTATCCTGATCATCCAGAGAGCTTTGA